TAGTGGGATTGATCCTTCACTACTGATTGTGGCAACCAAAGAATAGTGGGATTGATCCTTCACTAGTGACTGTGGCAACCAAAGAATAGTGGGATTGATCCTTCACTACTGATTGTGGCAACCAAAGAATAGTGGGATTGATCCCTCACTACTGATTATAACATAATGACATTACAGCTGAAACTGGGATTGATCTCTCACTACTGATCGTGACATAATGACATTACAGCTGAAAGGGTGAATATATCTGAGGCCACCTTGTTTAATTCATGAGCCAACTACTTTAAATACCTTGAATTGGGGGCATATATTACTTACTTATTACATGCTACAAATGTAATCAGAGTTACTTTACTTAGGTTGTGTACTAAGTGAAGGGAAGGGAAGGGAATTGGGGAACTCAAGTCTTTCCAATAACCATAAACTTTTAAAATTTGTGTAAAAAAAATATATACTAGTAAAAATCATATTTAGATAGTTGAATACTAGACTCTAAACCGAAATACTTTAAAACAATGAAAAAATATACTTTTGTGTTATAGTACCTATTATAACACAGAATATATTGACAGTGAACATAATTCATCTAATCTAGTCTGTGGTGTGTAAAGAGTAACAGTAATGTGTTTTTGTTTTGCATTTTGTTATAGCTATATCTACAACTCAATTAATTTTGATTTATTTTCAGTAAATTTTTTTTGATAATAATGTTCAAGTATAATTCAAAAGAAGCAAAATCCCACAGCTTTCTTGTGAGAAATACAGAGCATGCCTGAGAGTAATCATTAGAAAAATATTTACAGAAATCTTGGAACTTTCACCAAAAATGTATAGTGCTCAAAACTTTGCAAAACAGTGCTCATGAAATGACCAATAGTGCTAAAACTATTCCAATACTTAATACATAGGAATAACATATATCTTTATACGTAACGAACAAAAGAACAGTGAATATTGTTACAATCTAACATGAGGTGTACGTATACAAACTTTTTATAATAGTATTTAAAAGTCTATATCTCTACATTCTTTTTATTACAAGATGAAACAATTTGTTACAAATCAAACATCTTTCAGTTATATCTTACAGATCAAACATCTGTCAAGTTATATCCAACATCTGTCAGTTATATCTCACAACATCTGTCAGCTATATCCTACGACAACAACCATATAAAATGAAACAATATTTGTTACAGATCAAACATCTGTCAAGTTATATCTCACGACAACAACCATATTAAATGAAACAATATTTGCTACAAATCACACATCTGTCAAGTTATATCTCATGACAACAACCATATAAGATGAAACTATTTGTTACAGATCAAACATCTGTCAGTTATATCTCACGACAACAACCATATAAAATGAAACAATATTTGTTACAGATCAAACATCTGTCAAGTTATATCTCACGACAACAACCATATAAAATGAAACAATATTTGTTACAAATCAAACATCTGTCAGTTATATCTCACGACAACAACCATACAAGATGAAACTATTTGTTACAGATCAAACATCTGTCAAGTTATATCTCACGACAACAACCATATAAAATGAAACAATATTTGTTACAGATCAAACATCTGTCAAGTTATATGTCACGACAACAACCATACAAGATGAAACAATGAATAAAGCAGCTCTTCCTAACACTTTTCATAAGATGTTTTGCTTTTATTTTGTAATTAATGTATTTCAATTTATTTTTTGCATAACATTACTTCAGTGGTCTCTACACAATTAGTCTGATACACTGTGGATAAACAGTGCAGAAAATGTCTATAGAATATCCTGGTTAAAGATAAATGCTGAAATTTATAGATCTTTACCTGGCAGCATGGTTGTAAAGTTCACTTTAGCTTTGTGTAGTTTTGTCTCAAGCTGATACACTGTGGATAAACAGTGCGAAAATGTCTATAGAATATCCTGGTTAAAGATAAATGCTGAACTTTATACATATTTACCTAGCAGCATGGTTGTAAAGTTCACTTTAGCTTTGTGTAGTTTTGTATCAAGCTGATACAGTTTCATACAGTTGCTTTATCACTTTAAATGTTAGGAGCCACTGTAGCAGGTGACTCACACAACAGTGCTACAGCAAATAGGTACCAACATTTTAAAGTAGAGTCTGTCTATAGCTTCATGTATCATCACAGAATTTGGCAAGCTGTTAGTAAATACTAAAAAGTGTATTTTGTACATAAAAAAAAATCAGATATTTTTATAAATTAGTTTTCCTAAATATCTGTCTGTGAATTTATCGAGTCAGTCTAAGTGAAGGGTGATTTTCATGCTAAAAATAAAAATGCTTCTTTTTATATCACTACAGTTTCATATTTCATTTGCATGACCTCTAGAACCTTCTATATGGATATCAAGTTGTTTTTGTAAAGCTTTACATTTTCTCTTATTTTGTCTACCCTAACACCAACCGTAGAGAAATCTACAATACTGACCATAAAGTTCTTAGTTACGGTTTCAACTGCTAACATTTTCACTTTGATTTTCATGGTTTTTAGCTGTCAGTGGTAGACTTATTGTGTGATGGTACTGATCTTGAGAAGTGGTTTAATTTTGAAACGTTTTTTTTTCAGAATTGAATTTTTTCTTCTTTAGTTTTTTTCCTAATTCCTTTGATATTCAGTGAAATTGATAACATTGAGATTTATGTTGTATTGTTTATTAATGTTTGTTCCTAGTCCTGGCCGTTGTATTGTTTATTAATGTTTGTTCCTAGTCCTGGCCATTGTATTGTTTATTAATGTTTGTTCCTAGTCCTGGCCATTGTATTGTTTATTAATGTTTGTTCCTAGTCCTGGCCATTGTATTGTTTATTAATGTTTGATCCTAGTCCTCGCCAGACACAAGTGTACTAATTGTTTTTTGTTTTTTTGTAAGTGATAAAATCTGTAGCTGTTTTAAGTTTTATTTGAGATTTCTTTTATATTTTAATATGTTGTTTTTGTTTGACCCTTTGTTGTAATGGTATTTTGGTTGAGTCAGTTATATTTGTGGCCGTTTCTTTACTGACTTGGTGAAATGGAGAGCAGACTGCAAGGTTCATGTTTCTAGTCCTAAGTGTCAGGCTGTCGAATCTGGCATGATCTACTCCAAGGGCAGTGTCAGGTTTAGATATTGACTGGGGCATTGCATCTGTCAAATAGTATTGCAGGTGTCCTAAGGCGATCTCAGTGAGGACAGAAACCTCATGTACAGCAAAAGTGCAAATTCTTGCTTGATTTTGATTTTCAGTACAAATATGGGGACCTATCGATTCTTTTGACCGAGAGGTGTCAGAAAAGTTACTACAATTGTGAGCCCCCTCTAACATTTTTCCCAGCAAAGTTTTAGACTTTATTTGAACTATATCTGAACTAGGTTGTTTAACATTCTTGCTACAAGTCCAGTTGAATCGGCCGAGTTCATACCACAAACTGACCTTTATAGTTTCCATATTATAACAATATGTTTTGTGTATCTTTGCAAAATGTTGCAAGCATTAAGTCTTTTGCAGACAAAACATCAGAATTTTTAATGAAGTATTTTCACTAAAATTTCTTTATGAATACACGGAGTCAAAGTGTTGACTGCTCCGAGTGCAAAGTGATTTTCATTTTTAGAAATAAAAAATACTTTTCTTCACCAGAAAATTCTCAGATTTCATTTGTGTAATCTCTAAAACCTCCTAAATAGATTTCAAAAGTTTTTTCAGTAAAACTTTAACTTTTATCTGTTATTTTCTCCACTCTAACTCCATACGAGGTTGGTCTACCCACCATAAAAAGTACAAAATAAACCTAAATTACCCTTTTTTCTTACAAGAATAACTTCAAATTATAACAAGAAACTACATTTGTTTATCTTCAATAGCTATAAACTTGTAAGAGTATTCACCTGTTTATAAATAAATTTTTTGTTCTCTGAAATATGTCTAACTGAGAATCCTGCCACATAAGTTGTAAATCACTTGGCAAACGTAAAGCTTATGCTACCCTATCAAATTACATAATGATCGTACTAATCGAGAGCTGTTTGTAAGCATACCTCATGAAAAACTTTCATTATTATTTTTTGTCTTTATTTTACCTAATCTAGACTTATCTAGCCCAACAAGTGTCTAATTTTTACCTTTTAGTTACTTTTATAATAATAAATAAAGAATACACATGAAAAAACAAGAAATATGTCACTCCTGTAAAACAAAAGTTCTACCACCAAAATGTGAATCAGCAATTGGGC